CACCCACTAGTTTACGGATTGTAAACTATAAGGTTGCAGTCCAGTAATTATAAGACCGTATGGCTTATAAAGCCATATTTACTATTGGACCCTTTACAGAGTAGTTTGCTGATTCCCTAACCAACCTCAAGATAGAAACAATATTTTTGATGTCCCTTATATGCCTCTTCCAAACTCTACTGTTTTCACTCCCTTTGAGGAAACTACCACCTGAATTTTGTGTTAATCATTTCTTTTCATCCCCCATGCAGTTTTTATGTATCCCTAAATAATATACCACTTAATTTTCCTTACTTAAATTTTATGTGAATAAAATCATACTGTATATTCTTCTGTAGCTTCTTTCATCAGAGACCTAATCATGTTGGTGGCTTAGTTCTTTTTCCCTGATACAGTATTCCACTGGATGACTATACCATAATTTAGGGGTTCTCTGTTGGTAGTCATGCAGGCTCTGTCCAGGTTTAAAAGACAAAAGCAAAAACACCAATGCTGCTATATGAATATGCTTGAACATATATCCCTCTACAAATGACCAATGAGTGTGTGTAGGTACGTGTATGTTCCCACACAAGCAGGCATGCACACACCATTCTACCTAGGGATGGGACTGCTGAGTTTTGAGTGTGTGCAAACAGTTTTGTGCCAAATACTTTTCAGCGTAGTACATGAATTCTCCAGTACAATTTCAATATAACACTTGACTTTATCAGATATCAAATTTTTACAAACCTAGTGTTTTAATCACTGTAGTTTTAATTTGCTTGTCTAGGATTACTAATGTAGTTGAGCATCTTTCCACATTATTATTAGCCATTTGTGCATTTGTGTTTCTTCTGTCAAATGCCTATTTGTGCTTTTGGCCAGTATTTCTATTGATAGATTTGTCTTCTGCTTTTTAACTGCAGTAATTCTTTATATATTTCAGATATTAATCCTCTGTTGGTTTTACATATGGCAAATATTTCAACTCCAGCTTGTGACGTGCCTTTTCATTCCCCGAATGGTATTTTTTAATGAACAAATATTTGCAATTTTAATCTTCTTCTATATGCAACGTATGTTTCGGATTATTTGATTAAATCCTTCCCTACTCTGAGATCACAGAGATTATTCATTTTGTCTTCCCAAAGTTTTAAAATTTTGCCTTTCACATTTAAGTCTTTGATCCATCTGGAATTCAGTTTTCATATGGTGTAAGAAAGAAATTGTCTCCCTTTCCTTCCCCATGTAGATAATCAATTATTGAAAAATCCATCCATTCCCCCAGATTTTACAGTGCCACCCCTGTCGTATATAAAGACCCCCCCCCCCAACACGGCCTATTTCTGCAGTGTCTATCCTGTTCCATCAAGACTATTTGTGTATTCCTGTGCCATTACTAACATCCTAATTACTACAGCTCTATAAAAAGTTTTGATTCTGGTAAAGCAAGCTTCCACAACCCTTTCTTTTTCTTCAAGTATGTCTTGGCTCTTCCCTTGGACTTTTCTGCATTAATTTTAGAATCAGTTTGCCAAGCACTGTATAAAATCCTAATGGGATTTTTGAACGGAACTGCATGCAATCTATAGATCGTTTTAGAGTGAAAGGACATCTTCAATACATCGAGTCTTCCTGTTCATGAACATAGTCATGCTTTTTCTCCATCTCCATCTCCATATGGTGACCATATGAATTTTCCCTTTATTTATTTTTAAAGATTTATTCATTTTAGAGGAAGAGAGAGCACGCGTGTATAAGAGCAAGCAGGGGGAGGGGCAGAGGGAGAGAGAGAATCTCAAGCAGACTCCCCACTGAGCACAGAGCCCAAAGTGGGGCTCAATCTAACGACCCTGAGATCACGACCTGAGCTGAAACCAAGAGTTGGACATTCAAGTGACCAAGTTATCCAGGTGCCTCATGAATTTTCCCTTTTAATATATTAATGTGGTAAGTTATATTAATAGATTTTTCTAGTATTATCAACCTTACATTTCTGGAATAAGTCCAACTTAGTTATTATGAATCATATTTTAAAATACATTTGCTACTATTTTGTTTAAAACTTTTACAGCTATGTTTATGAGCGAGATTGGCTGATAAACTTTCTTGTAATGTCTCTTCCTTGTGTGGCTGAATGTCAAGGTTATACAATTACCACAAGAGAAGTAGGAGTGTATTCCCTTTTCTTTCTAGACTCTCAAGAAGAAGTCTAAGATTAAAATGATCTGTTCTTGAGATGTTTGATAAAACACACCTGTAAAACCATCTGAGCTGAGTGTTTTGGGGAAAAAAAATTATGTATTGATTCAATTTCTATAAATTAAATAACCTATTCGATTTTTCTTTTTGATTCAATTTTGGTAAGTTGTATTTTACTGTCCATTTCATCTTACTTTTTAAATACTGGCATAACACTGGTAATAGTATTTTCTGTATCTTTAAAAATGTCTGCTGCAAAAAAAAAAATCTCTGCTACATCTGCTCTTTGTGCTTGTCGATTTATTCTTTAGTTCATTTTAGTTTTGAAAGAGAGCAGAAATAAATTTGTGTGTTTAATCCACTATATCTAAACAAAAAATTACACAGAAGGTACATTCTTCCTTATCTATAAGGAGGTGATAATAACAGAACTTACTACACACTGATATAGTGAAGATTAAATGAGTTAATAGATGCAAAGTGCTTAGCACAGTGCCTGGCACATATTAAGAGCCCAAAAATGTCACGATCGGGGTGCCTGGGTGGCTCAGTCGTTAAGCGGCTGCCTTTGGTTCAGGTCATGATCCCATGGTTCTGTGATCGAGCCCCGCACTGGGCTCCCTGCTCAGTGGGAAGCCTACTTCTCCCTCTCCCACTCCCCCTGCTTGTGTTCCCTCTCTCACTGTGTCTCTCTCTGTCAAATAAATAAATAAGATCTTTAAAAAAAAAAGTCACAATCATATTATAGGGAATTTAAATTACACTAATATGATGTCTTTTTTTTTTTGTTCTACTGAAGTTTAATACTCCAATGCAATAGTAACTGGTTGCAGACTAGACTCTTTCAACTGTACTTTTATTCTTTTTTTTTTTAAGTTTTATTTAAGTAATCTCTACACCGAATGTGGGGCTCGAACTCATAATCCTGAGAGTAAGAGTCACAGGCTCCTCCGACTGAGCCAGCCAGGCTCCTCAACTGTACTTTTATTCTAACTGGCTTCATAAAGATGTAGCAATAAATCTGGATGGCAATCTTCTCATTCCCAAACCGTCTGGGCATTCAAGACCTGAGATTATGAACTGCACTTCTAGTTTAAAATAAAATGCCAAAAAAAAAGCTACCTGGGATGTTTTTTTTTTCTTTTTAAAGATTTTTATTTATTTATTCATGAGAGACAGAGAACGAGAGAGAGAGGCAGAGGGAGAAGCAGGCTCCCAAGGAGCAGGGAGCCCGATGCGGGACTCGATCCCAGGACCTCGGGATCACGACCTGAGCCGAAGGCAGATGCTTAACCATCTGAGCCACCCAGGCGCCCGCTACCTGGGATGTTTTTCCCTCAAGGGCAAAGGCCATGCTTTTATCACCTACTACGTGCTATGAGCCTGGCACAATCAAAAAACTGTGAGTTCCTGACAAGCAAACAATACCAAAGAAATAATAAAATAATGAAGTTATAATAAAAACCATAAAGAAAACTAACAGCCTCACAAAATTTTCATTATTAGACACCTTGTATTCGTGGGTAAATACACAACTGACTTTATCCATAGACCCTTCATTAGGGAAATTCTCACTATAAGAAGGTCCTTCTATCCTCTCTAACAGAGAAGTACCTGTTAGGCATTCCACTCCCAGTTAATTTCTGTATGCAAGCTTAACCTCAAAAGAAAAATAATACTATAAACAGATATTGAACTTCAGTTAATAATATACATACACAATTATTTAGTGGGATATATACTGATGTCTGTGATTTACTTTAAAATGCATCAGAAAATACAATGGACTGATGGATAGCACATGGGATGGGCAGATGAATAAATATGTGCCAAAGAAAGCATAGTCAAATGTTCGTGGCAGAATCTAGATCGGGTTATATGGGTGTTTACTGTAAAATGATTTCAACTTTCTATGTTTGAGAACTTTCATTAATAGAATATAGGGAAAGATATAAACTCTATACCTGTCAAGTTAAAAAAAAACCTAAAATAAAAAGAATATGAAAAATATTTGTATTATCCATATAGCAATAGTTATTACAATATAAAAAACCTCATTCCAATTTATTAAAAAACAAGAGTCCTATAAGATAAATGGGAAAAGACATTAACAAAATATAAATGGGAAATAAACCCATGGAAAATATTCAGTAACCTCTAACCAAAGAAAAATAAAGCAAACCTGCCATACCACTTTATGCCTATTTTATTAGCAAAATTTAAACAAATATGCATGAATACACACACAATTCTGGCAAGGCTGCAGTAAAAATGGGAACTCATATATGGCTGGCAGCATTCACTATAAACAAGCACAGTGTGTTTGGGAAGCAGTCTGGCAGTCCTAAGTCACAGTGCTCAGCAAGTCCTTTGACCTGATGGTCCTACTCATTAGACTATGAACCACATCCATCAAAAGCAGCCAAAAGATGTTCACTGCAGTATTATCTACTAAAGGATGAAACTATGAAGAAGCTAAATGGCCATCAAGAGAAGAAAGGTTTAGTAAATGATGACATATCAGTACAATGGAATATGATACAGACATGTAAAAAAATGACAATGATGGAAGCGTATGTGAAAACATGCAAAGTGTTCATACCCAGACCAAATGGAAAACTATAATTGATTGTGAAGCTATAAGAGTCAATGAAAACATGCACTGGCACTGTACAGAAACATGAATAATTAATGAAAATGACATGTTGAGGGGATTGTGGCTGATTTCTTTTCCTAAAATTGTCTTTCATCTTCCCGATACCTCTTTCCATTGAAATAAAATAATTAAAAAGCCCATCTCAAGACTGTCTACTCACAGTGCTAAGCTTGCTGCAGACGATGAGAATCCGGCGTTCGTACAGCATACTGGCATACAGATGTAACATGTTGTTTACATCCACGGCCACAAAATATTCTGTCAGATTTCTCTAGGAGAAACAAGAAGGGGAGATTTGTGGCTTATTTCGTTTGTTCTTATTACAAGCGGGATCTTAAAAAAAGTATGAGAAACAGAAGATTATCAGAAAGCATACTCTCCTCTGCCCCTGTCGTATTCTTTCCACCTGGGAGACCGAATCCCGTGCGTGTGTAAAATCATGAAATGCCAAGTTGGAAGAGACCTGAGAGATGAAGCACTTCTGTGTGCTGATTACAGTTTACACGAGGTCACGGGCAGCACCACACAGCTGGGCCTATCGGTTCCGAAAGGTGAGCAGGACAGGAAGTCTACAATCTTACAAATGAGGAAAGCAAGCCTCAGAGAGGGATGCCAAGACCAAAAAGTCTCATAAGTGATAAAGACAGGACTGCAGCTCAGATCTGCTGACTCCAGATCCTAGAACTTTCCCAATGTGCCGTACCATACATCTAGGCAAGAGAAAGGGCCCGGGGACCAAAATGCTTTTTGGCACAGAGCCCATTTCTGTCTGCCAGATCCCACCCGCAAAGGCTAGGCATGCATGCTCCTCTCTTGTCATCACTGCGGCATCCCCCTCCTCCATCGTTGACATTGTCTAAAAGGGCTCAGCTGGAATCAGAGCAATTTTGAAGATTTACAATTTCCAGGTATTTCACTCAAAAGGGGGAAAAAAACTGCAGACAAGCAGCAGGAAATGGTGACAAAGCAGTATTTTAACTAGCTTTTGTCTGTACCCGGGGCTTCTTTAATTAGTACTATAGATTGGTACTCTTCAGATTTCAGAAAAAATATAATGTGTTTCATTTCTGCAACCCTTTCTATACGCACCTGACTTTAATAATACACATGAATATGTTAATTTCTTCAATGTTACAGGTTTTCAATGCCACACAATATAATCCTCTGAAAATGAAGGGGGTCAGGGAGGGAAGGAACACTACTTGCCAGGGGTTTGCCATTTATAATGATGAAAGAGCTCTAAACCCATAAATTCAAGTAAACCAGGTGGATTTTTACATGCAAAATAGCATAAAGTGCTTTTCAACATATTATGGGTTGGGAATAAGAATGGGCACTTATCTTATGATTTATTGTTCTTTGATTGGAATACCAGGTTAACCATCGACCTTTATAAATAATGAGTGAATTAATAGCTCCATATACTGACTACCTACCAAGTACCAGGTACCATATCAGGTACTTCGTATGTGTAATCTTACGCAGTTCTCACAAAACTCAAGGAGGCATTTCCCCCCAGTATCGAGATAAAGTAAGTCTGGGAGAGATTCAGTAACTGGTGGAGTCAGAATTTGGACTCAGTTCCAACTCCAGAGCCCATACACTTTCCCTTACATTGTCCCACTTAAGTATTTTTAAACATCTACAATATACAAAGCTTTACATACATTTCACTTAATCTTGAAACCACTCCTTGAACAGGCAATATCATCTCTACAGATAGGAAAACAGACAACAGAGAAAATGAAGTAATAGGACCAAGGTTATACACTATGTGGATCATCAATCTTGGGTGAATTTGTCTCTAAACCTATGCTCTTTGTTTATATCGGTACAAATAGTAGGTAAAACTTGTATTCAGGAAAGGAAGCATAGCATTGGAACAAAGCAGGATTGAAATACACCTACTGAAAGAGAAAAAGTGTTGCTGTTAAGAACTGTTATCCCATTGAGTAATCCTTCTGTGTTAGACAATAGGTACTTTACCTGTGTTCTCTCTAATCTTCTCAACAACCCTGAAAAAAGGCATCATCATCTCCATTTCTATAGATGAAGAAACTGAGGCCCAGGAAGGGTAAGTAGGCTCCAAAGGTCACCCAGCTAGAAAGGGCAGAGCCCAGTTTCAAAACCAGGTCTCCTGAATCTGAAGCCCTTGCTCTAACCAACACACCACTTGCCTCCTAACAAACTTGAAAAACAAAAAACAAACAAGCAAGGCAGTCTGAATTAGTCAACAAGTGGGTCTCTTGCCCAGTGGACTGAGGAGTGCTGAGCTAATGATGTCAGGGTGGGGTTCGCTCTGAAGACCGTGACATGGCAGAACTATTCTCGCAAACAAAAATACAAGGCCCTCAGCTGAGCATTTCAGTAAAATGCTTAACTGCTGATGAATTACATCAATTTTTCTTTTAGGAGAGGATGCAAGTAAAAAGAAAATAGAAATGAGGAGCTTAAAGAAGGCCAGAAAGCCCATTAGCACTTTTGACAGATCCAAAGATAACTCTGAAGCCACCAAAACGTGGCCTCAAGAGTCTGCCAAGAAGCTTCACGCTGGGTAGAAATATGTTACACAGCTTGCCGTCCAAATAAGGAGACACGGCGTCAGAGACAAATCCTGCACCTTATTTTGGTGGGAGAAAAAAAAATCATAAGGATACTTTTGTGGATGGGGAAGGAAACATTTCTGAAATCAAAACACCACTTGGTTGAGGCATAACCCCCAGGCCCAATCAGGTTCTGAGAGATTCAGGTGCTTGTTCCAAAAACTCTATACAGGTATGTTAAAAATATGTAACATTTAGCCAAATTCTCTCTAAACTGTCATGTACTTTTTTTGGTATTTCTCATCCCATCTGTGCTGATTACCAAGATATTTGTGTCTAAACAGAAGCTGTCTTTCTTATCTGCTTCCTCCCCTGCCTCTTTCCTTCTGGGATGCCACCCGCCTAGGCGGGTGGGAGTGGGTGGGAGTGGCGACAGCCCTGGGAACTTCGTTCAGCCGTGGGAGCACCTGCGGGGCAGAGCAGGCCTTGGGAGCAGCTGTAGGGAGCATTTACAGTTTCCACCAAACTTCATCTCTGAAGAAAACCCCTTGGCGAGAAGGGTCTCCTCCCCTGTGCCTTAAAGCATCCAGTGGCTTAAGCTACACCAACCCTCAATTTCTCAAACCTGTCATACCTTTTCATACCCTCAGGCCTTTACTTCTGTTGTTTCCTCCTCCTAGAATGCTCTTCTCTTCCTTGAGGAAACTCACTCACTTTTCAAGACCCAGGTGAAATGTTACCTCCTCCTAAAAAGCTTCCTCGATTCCACATTTGTCAAGCTCCTACACTTTGTGCTGGCATGGTTATTTGTCTCTATCTTATAACCACTTGGTTACAAGTATGTTTTTGTTCCTAGACTGAGGTCCCTCTGGGCAGTGACATCCCATCATCTAGCAGTTTGATAAAAGAATGAATCAATAAGTAAAGAAAGCAAGACTGAAGACCTCAGCTCCTTAGCTGGAGTTTGAGCAGTGTAGCCTAAGAAAAATACACCAGCCTGAAAGACAATGTGGTATATTAGGAAGAACACAGCATTTGATATCAGAAAACTTGGGCCTAGGTTGGATGAAGTGATCAAATGCTTAGTAATGGTGAAGGGCTCATGGTAAAAGAATGGACACTGGCAACTCACAAAGTCATGTAAAATAGCTGGGGGTTGGGGGAGGCTGTTAAAGGTATTTGTGGCTACATTTATTAAAAGTAAAGAAGGGGCACCTTGGTGGCTCAGTCGGTTGGGCATCCAACTCTTGATTCTGGCTCAGGTCATGGATCTCAGGAGCGTGGGATCAAGCCCCGTGTCTGGCTCCATGCTGGGCACAGAGCCTGCTTGGGATTTTCCCTCCCCCTCCCTGCCTCACCCTCTGCCTCTGCTCCTCCCCTCCCCACCCCATGCACACCCTCTCTCTAAAAAAATAAAAGTGTAAAGAAATAGGTGGTTTGTTCATCAGGTAATGGGGAGGGGGCTGCATACAGAAGCAGGTATTCATTTCACAGCCAGGTCAGTCATGGGTTTTATGGGTAAGACAAGAGTGTAGGGAATGGGGAATAAGGAGCAGAGGGAGCTCCATGGCACACTGTCCTAGGTCAAGATTGCAGCCAGAACATACTATGAGCTTATATTTCTAAGGAACACAAGGTATACCACTCTCCTAGCACTTTGCTTCAGTGGGACCAAGTCTTCAACCTCCCATTTCTGTCTCCTGTAATCAGCCAATCAACAAACACTTATTTAACTCCTACTAGGTATTTAGTACCATCCTGGGAGCTGGACCTGCAGAGATTAATTAAAGATGATCCCCATTTTCCAGGAGTGTAGCCTGGGAATGGGAATGGCATTAGTATGGTGTGCCAAGTACCATGGTCCAGGCTACACACACTGCAGGGCTGCCTGAGAAGGGCAGATTCAACTTTGCTGGATGGATATGGGGGCAAGGCTAGGGAAGGCTTGACAGAGGAGAAGACAGCTGGTCTGGGTCTCCCAAGAGGACTTCACTCAATGGACAGGGGGAGAAGTGTATTCCATGCAGGACAGAAGCAGGGACGAGAGAGGAGCTCCAGCAGGTCAGTAGAGTGAAGAGTAGGCTACACGGCAGGGGACGTGCTAGGGCAGGGGAGCTGGGTTCAGATTCCATGGGAGTTAGACTTTCCCCACGGGTAAAAGGGAGCTGCTGCTGAAGGAGCATGATACAGTTACATATGTGTTTCAGAAGGATCTTCCTAGAGCTCCTATGGAGGATGCCCAGGAGAGGGCAAGTGGGAGGCAGGACAATCAATTAATAGGCTACTGCCACATTCCAGGAAAGAATGATTACAACAAATAAACTACGGAGATGAAAGCTTTGAATATGGATGTGACAGATCTCTGTAAAGTGAAATCACAGGACCTGATAATGAATCAGACCTGAGAAGTGGGGCGGGGGGGAGAGGGGGGGAAGAATTGCAGACAACACCCAGGCTTCCAAGTTACTGAGCACCACACTTGTCCACATGCCCAGTTTTCTTAAATGGAGTCTACTCATTTAATGAGGGAATCAGTTCTCCTTTTAAAGAACCATCAGTCCTGTCAAGCATGGTGTTGCTGCTCACCTAGTCTTGGGCCCAGTGTTCTAGACTGTAATGCCACCACGGCTAAGTCTAAATCATCACCCCCTTCATTCCCTGAAAATTACCTCTCTGTGTGACTCACCTACTGGGAAGGAAAATCTTGCTTCGAGGGACTATTTCTAGT